AACATTTAGATTTTGGGATAAGTTTTGAGTTCAAATCCCAGCCCTGCCACAGATGAGCTTTGAGATCCAGGCAGGTAATTTAGTCTTGTCGCTGCTCAGTTTCCTCATCTGCAAATGGGTAAAATCCTCTCCAAAGTGTTATGAGAATTAAAATAAGATTGACATAAGGCAATTAGCATAGTTCCTGGAACACAGCAATCGACAAATGGCAAACTTTTGAAATGACAAATCCTATCTAACAAACCTTTTAGCTAATTGTGGCTCTATTTTGCAATTAACTCATTGTAGTATTATCAAGGACTAAGGCTCAGGATTAAGCAAATTCTACTCAAGACACAGTCTGGAAGATACATGCTGAGATGTAAAACGAACCATGTCGATGGTGGTGCCCTAAGACCCCCGCACTGAATTTGGGAAGTCCAACCTCTCTCTTCTGCAGGCAGACCTCGTTTCATTGCACTCCACTTTAGTGCTTCACAGACGCGTTTTTTTTACAAATTGAAAGAAAGACCCCTCCAACAGCCAAGAGATTCCGACTTGCTTTTTTGCAATACTCGCTTTATTGCGGTGGTCTGGAACCAAATCCGCAACATCAGAGGCATGCCTCACTGTGTGACACAGCATTTTGGGGAGCTGCAGTTGAATGATTGCCCAAAGATCCACGCTGATTCAAAGCTTCCTAAAGAAGTAATTTTGGCCTTACCTGGGGCCTACTTCCGATGACAGATCTCATTCCAGTTGAGCCTGATACATTTTCACGAAAAAGTAATTTATGCTCTGGTACCTCCGCTCCATTCCTAGACCACACGCAGAAAGGAATCCTTTGATTCCCTGAAGCCCAGCCGCTCCCGTGACCTGGGATCAGCAGCACTGGCTTCACCTGGAGCTGGTTAGCAATGCAGGCTCTCCAGCCCCACCTCAGCCCCACCGAGGTAAACTCTGCATTTTAACAAGATACCCAGGTGACTCATATGCACGTTAACACTTAGAAGCGCTGCTCCACTGTGCCTGCTGCTTCTTAATTCACAAGACCATCTGCAGGCTCCAGGAGCCAAGGAGAAATCCATCATGAACCAACTTTGCCTGAGACTCTGACCTTGACACAGGCCACAGAAGTCATTTTCTTGCATATTTTATGAGCTCTGATTCACTGTTACATAATAAGAAATACACCTGGACTATATTATCTTGATTTCACTGAAAACTGGATTTAATTTTTATCTGATTGGATGAATTATGCCTCAAATTAATGATTCATATGTCTCTCCAGTTTGATTTTGGGCATTTTAGCAAATAACCGCAGTTGAATTACATGACACGATTTTCTGGGGAAATTCTGTTTTCAAATATATTCTCACCATTTGTAAAAGATCTCTTAGGAGGTTAAATCTAATTTTCAAAACTGCTCATAATCTGTATGTGTAGCCCCCATAGGGTGGCTTAACACACCGGACACTGTTACGTCCTTTGTCTACATTCTCTCATTTACACCACTAGAACTAGTTTGCAGATGGATGAAGCTCACAGGTTAACGATTTATCTAAGATCACACATCTAGTAAGTGACAAACCTCAGATATAAATCCAAACCAAAAATCCACACTAACCATAACTAGTATGTCCCTGTGTTCCCTAGAATGCTCTCTCTGTGAGATTCAGAGTCAAGTGGGCACTAAATGCTGAGAACTGCAAAATTCAAATGCCTGACTTTACTTAACAGCATCACCCAGCCTATTTGCTTATGGAGCCCTTTGCTTTCCCCCAAACCTATAAGGCAATTAGGTCACCTTTCGACAAGTACAACAACATACCAAACTTTACACTTTAAAAATGTTTTTAGAATTCTCTATTACTAAAAAACTTTAAGGCATGTTAGATATGCTCCAAGAAGGAATTCAAATGCTTGCATGTCAAAGTTATCAGAGGAATTGGTGACCCACAAAATTTTATCAAGAAAATAAATTTCTGATCTACAATTTTTCCATATTGTCAGAGTGCTTTGCTTAAACAAATGGAGGGGCCTTCTAGGATAGAAGGAATCCAAACAGGGAAAACAAATTAAGGAGTTATTTTGAAAATATACAGGTATAATATATATCATTTTGAAAAGATATAAAATACTTTTACAGAAGCTTATAGTCCTTACCACCCAACCTAGGAAAGTAAGTTAGAAAATCAGGTTGCTCCAAGTCTTAAGATTACAGGACAGGTACACTGTTCCAAAGGAGAGCAGCTCTACCCTTAGAAGACTCGTGCCTTAGGAGACCAAGCCTTACAGAAAGCAGACCTCCAGAGGAGTCATGTAACCTGGCTAGTTAGTATGGACTCAACCTGCATTTGAAATGGGCCAACATAAACACCAAGGAACTTTTTTAGGTTTCCTAAAAGCAAGCAGTGATGGCATTTAAAAAACAAACCACTGAGTTCAGATAATTTACACAAAGAAATCTAGAGGGAAATGAAAGAATTTTAAAGTATTTTTAAATTATCCACAGGCAGGCAGACTCACTCATGCACAGCACATCAACTTATTTTCATTTGGACAGTATTCTACAATCTTACTTAGCATGCAGGTATTAGTCTGGCCAGCACTTTAAGGATACTGTTTTCTTAACCACAGCACTTATTCTTCCCTATTCCAAAGAGATTTCATTTTTTTTTATAAATATATATTTTATTGATGTTTTACAGAGAGGAAGGGAGAGGGATAGAGAGGTAGAAACATCCATGAGAGAGAAAGATGAGAAACATTGATCAGCTGCCTCCTGCACGCCCCCTACTGGGGATGTGCCGGCAACCAAGGTACATGCCCTTGACTGGAATCGAACCTGGGACCCTTCTGTCTGCAGGCCAATGCTCTATCCACTGAGCCAAACCGGTTAGGGCTCCAAAGAGATTTCAGACAAGAGATGGCAAACTCAGAAAAGCAGCAGCTCACTAGCCTCAGACTGGCAGCATAGAAGGGCCAACCAGGAAGAGAAACTCCAGAAAGCTGAAGGGGAAAAGGTGTGTGGCTTTCTAAGGCTTCTGTTTTTAATGTTTCGGACGGTATAAATGCCCTTATTTAAGCAGTCAGCACAGTGGCCAATAGCCTCCCGTCTCCCTCTCATTCACCAAGCCCTCCCCGCTTGTGCCAGTTATTCTCCATTTATGCCCCTGCCCCCAACCACCAGGGCCCTGCTTTGCCCGCTCTGCCCCGGAAAGATGACCCCTGCTGCCTGCATCTCTAGAAAGCCCTCGCTGGCTGGCTTCCAGCGGAGTTTGGTCAAAGGCCGCACTGGCAGATAACAGGTGGAGGCTATTCTTTCTCACTCCCTCCGTGTTGGCACATCTCTAGAAACAGCTGCCTCCCGTGGCAACCCCAGCTCCTACCAAACAATCCGCACTCAAGGTTCTCACTCTGAGATCTGGTCATCCTTTCCCCTTGTCCTCCATGCTCTTCAGGCTGTGGCTAGTCTTTCCCCAGCTCACCATTGCTTGTTTCTTCCTGTAAGGTTGCCCTTACCGCTAAGCCAGCGGTTCTCAACCTGTGGGTCGCGACCCCTTTGGCAGTCGAACGACCCTTTCACAGGAGTCGCTTAACACCATCCTGCATATCAGATATTTACATTACAATTCCTAACAGTAGCAACATTACAGTTATGAAGTAGCAACAAAAATAATTTTACGGTTGGGTCACAACATGAGGGACTGTATTTAAAGGGCCAGAAGGTTGAGAACCACTGCTAGGCAATCCTTTTATTCATTTCCTTTTAGTTGAACCATCCAGGGTGGATTATCTTTCCTGCCGGAAATCTAATTCACTATCTCAAAGCCTTTGTGCATTTGTTTTTTATCTACCCAGGGAGCTCTTCACTTGCCTCTTTGTAGGGCCAGCTGTTAGCAATCAGGTGTCAAACTTGTCTCACCTCCTCAGAGGGGCTTCCCTGATCACCAAATCTTGTATCAGCTCCCACTGCATATGCTCTGAAGACCCTCCCATTTTTATCACCTCTCCCTCCTAGAAATTAGGGGCTTAAAAGCAGGAACCTAGCCACACTGTCTTGCTCACTTTATACCCAATTCACAGAACAGTGTCTCATATATAGCAGAGGTTAAAAACTTGTGAAATGTAGTTCCAAATCAAATTTTAAAAACTTAAATTCCTTCAGGTTTATTTTTAAAGCAAAAGAAGACCCCCAAGTCTCATAATGTTAATCCCATAAACACCTTTAAAATGAATGCAAATTTATCTGGTAGAGCATAATTTCTTGAGTATTCTTGCCTGTAACACTAGTTCTCACCTGTTTTCTGTAGGAATACAACTGATTATATCCCCTCATGGAACACTCTCTCCAGGCCAACCAGATGATGGGCTACAGGACAAGATTTAATGGGACTAGATTGTTTTCAATCCCCAGGAGAAAGGTCTCGCTCTTACTACTTTCAAGAAAAGCAACAGGGCCCCACTGTGAGCATTGTGGGCACATGAACCAGGAGGTCATGGTTCGATTCCTGGTCAGGGCTCAAACCCCATCATTTGGCTCAAGTCTCTCTCATCATTGATATTTCTCTCTCTCTCTTCCCTTCCTCTCTGAAATCAATAAAAATATATTTAGAAAAAGAAAAAGAACAGTAAATATGAGGTTATTATACAGTATTCTAGGGATAGCCCACTGTGATCCACAGTGAACCACAACTACCAGAGCCCCATAACCCCGAGTAAAAATGTGAACCTAAAGGACCGGTCATTTGATCAAAATGTGATCCATTATGAATCAGAAAAATTAGACAAACTGATGACTTAATTGAAGTAAATTAGTTTCATGTTAAGCTTCTCTAATGATCATTTCCACATGAATTAAAGCTAATAATTAAATGCCAAAAATAATTTTATATACTGGTAAAACTTTAGCTCTAAGTTAATACATTCAGCTAAACAGCTTTTCATAAATTGCTTCCATTTTCCATATAAACATACTGAAAATTTTTAGAATAACAATTTCAATAATTCCACTTGACTTACTTTTAATTTTTATTAAAAATGCAAGAAATCCAGAACAATTTACAACTATACAATGTTTGAAACAGCTTTCCTATTCCTATTTAAAGCTTTATTTTTTAAATGTCTACAAGACGTGCTTACACGGGCTTGAGACTATCAAACCTGACCACCCAGTGACATTAGCAGTTTTATTGCACAATGATCCACATAACACTGCATATTTGTTTAGTTCAGCCTATATCATAAAGTGCTAGTCATTGGTGGGAAAGTAACAAAGCCTACGAAACAATGCAATTCCCCATGATATTTTCTATTTGGGTTGTGAGGGGTAGCTAATTTAGTGCTATCAGCCTGAATAACAGATTTCCATTTAAAAATATATAGTTTTAAAAAAGGTCTAAGGTCTATGAATATGTCACAAGCATTCCAAAATTATGAGTGCTAATGCATAACAGTCTAGTTTCTAACATTTTAACTTCAAAAAAAACCAGTTTAAATAAAATAACCTAAGAAAAAGATGTTTCAAAAATGGACATAAAATTTAGATAAAGTCATTCTTCAAATGAACTTTTAAAAGGATACAGTTATTATGATTTTGGTTATTACTCCTAAACAATTAAATTTGTATTTTTACTTATTTATTAATACCAATGCTCATTACCAAACAATGAGCCACAGAAAATGCATACAAATGACCAGTTATTCCACATATTATGTTTAATGACACTAAAAATAGATCATTAACTCTTTAAAAATGTAAACATAAGCCAGGACAATCTGATATGTCATATTTGTGCCAAAAAATGAAAACCACAAGACACAGTAAGAGGGGATAAAAAAAACAAAAGACCAATATCAATATATCTTCACTGATATTTATGAAAAATAATTACTCGACATAGGTGCAAATATTTTCATAAAACATATTTTATGAATGACAAGTTTTCCCAGACACGTTTTATCTGGGGGGGAAAGTGATTAAAATGAAGAGCTACAGGTGTTAACCACTAACTTTGTGTTTCCTCCAAGAAACTATGTTTACTACACATGCACATATGGGTGTTACAGCTAAGAAAACACTTTTACATGTCCTTAAGAATAGTTTATGATCTTTAAAAAAAACTGTATTCATTTTCCAGGCAAATATACTGTTAATATTCTTTTCACATCTCAAAATACATAATTTTCCATTTAAATATATTACCATTTCTATGGCCTTTCCCCCATCTTTCTTTTAAAAACAAATGCAAGACACAATGTTTAGTACTAACTTCTATCCATTAGGCATTTAAAAAAAAATCTTCTCTTAGGACACAAACATGATATAAAATTGAAAAACCAAACACAAAAACAACATAATAAATACATTTGTATGCTTTCCCCCCAAAAGGAATGTAAATATCAGCAATACCAGCTAACATAAATAAATTTCATGTTCATAAAAAAAAGACAATCCAGTTAACCATTTCAGTGTGTCTTTTTCCTGTTATTTGTGAAAGGCAGAAGAGTGACATGGAAAAGGCAAGGCTGTTTAGGTTTTCTGTGTTTTAAGAAGAAACACACACAAAAAACAAGTGTGGCGACAGGATATTTAGATGATATGTAATTAGTTACGAAGGTAAACACCCAGGCATTGTTTTGCCTATATTTTTCCTTCTAAGTCACATCAGATGCTTAAACTACATGTCCTCTTCGTATTCTAGATATTTTGCCGCGATGGGTTCTTCAAGCTGAATTCCTCCACTGCCCATTAATGCAAATGCTGGATACATGGTGCTCGAACAGTCCACCTGGCGCTCATAAAGGCACTTCATGTGATCCATGTCATAGAAGCCCACTTTGCCTTTATCATAGTCGAGGAAAACCCCTATACTTGTTGGCATGGGAAGAATTCTATTTTCAGCTTCATTAAAAGTAGGTGACTTGGGTATAAAGAACTTCTTCATGCCTATAGTAACTAACGTAAAGCGTTGTGAAGAATCAAAACAGGCATCCTCACTTCCGCTATCATGTCCACTGTCTTGCTCATATCTAAAACACAACACACAAAGTAGAATCTTATCTGAATCATTATCCATAGGCCTTCAAGTAACTGTGAAACATTTTACAAGACAATATACACTGATTTAACATTGAAATAAATTATATATCAAAAACTTTCTATTAAAACAAAAACATAAGATTACACATTACCATCAGAATTATACAAACACACCCCAAATTCAGTCTTAAAACATCATCCACTCTTACCTAGATAATACACAGATGAGAACCTAAAAAATAACTTGTTTATCAAAAATAAACCAGGGGGACAGGAACTAAAGGACTTGTCAAAGATTAAGTATGTATAGCACACAATCATACACAAGAAAATACCAAACCAAGATGTGTGCCTTAACCCAAGAATTGCAAACTAAATAAATAGGCACTGCATAATTCAGGAAAAAAAGGGTGTGTTTCATTCTCCTCTGCAGAACTCTACTTCCCACTCGGGATTTCTACATAGAGCTATGATGTAGCAAGTATTCTGAAGGCTTTTTCCCTGTTGTATAGAAAATAGGAGCTTATAGAAAATTTTGATACGAGAAACCTTCCATTTTTTTTCCTATGCATACTTTACTTTGCTTTTTATATGACCATATGACATCAACCATTTTAATTTCTTTTGTACTTCTAACATTCCTAAAATATGATTAATACTAATATTCTATCAAGTGGACATGCCACTGTTTAAGTAACCATTTCTCTAATACAATTTTCATTGTTATGTCAATTTCTCATCTTTGTGCAAAATTATTTCCGATCACTCAGATTGTTAACCTGGGATTCTGTTCATGTAAGTGGTTAAAAGTTATGTTTGGCCCAGCCAGCTTGACTGAGTGGTTGAGAGTCGACCTATGAATCAGGAGGTCACTGGTTCTATTCTGGTCAAGACACATGCCAGGGTTTCTGTTTGATCCT